GGGGGGGTCGTTTAAAAACAAGAACTATTAGTGAAGTCAGCCAAGTGTATTCTGGGGCTAATAAATATTGCAGTCCCCGAGGGTAACTGTCACGACCCGTGAGCTCAACTTAAAGAATCTGTTAGCAGTGCTTTAACGGTTACGGTACCAGCTTCACTTTCACACGTTAGCTGAAGTTCAAGAAGCAGATAGAGCTAACTTAGCTCGGTGTAATGAGCTAATCTAAGTGTAACGTTAGCTCTCTGGCAGACTGAAACAATGAGCTCAGAGTGCAGTCAGCCTTGGCTAGCTTGCTTGCTGCTGCATGCTGTGTTGGCTACATAACGTAAAGCTAGCCAGCTTGCCATGCACACAAGGCTAACGTTAAATGGCTAACGACTCGTAGCACTATCAACAATAAGAAGAAAAAAAAAGAAGAAAAAAAATGTACTTACTTACCGACTTAGCTAGACACTCCTATTCCAAACCGTGGTCTGCCCATGGTGGTGTATGCTCCATAAAAAGAACAAATCAACGGTAATTATGCTTTACTTATAAGAAAACCTCTAAAAAAAATCTGAAGCACCAGAAAGCAGTGGCAGCGCACTCCCCAAGACATCCAACACAAGAGAGGAGGGGAGGCCAGCGATTCACTGGACTTCTGCCATCACACTTCGAGATACCGTCCACAGCGTAAACAGCCGAGTCCCGAGCGCATTTTTATCGGTGCCGTCTCAAGCCAGACACAAGTCCTGTCCTCTCCAGCGACCCTCTGTCAATTATTCCCACAGCGAATAGCTTTCAATCCAGGTTAATTCCTCCGTATTCACCGTCTCTGGATGAGCGCCGTGCTGGTTCTTCGTGTGGGAACTGATACAATGTAGCCAACCAGCAGCAGCGATTAGGAAATCCAGGATAGAGAAGTTCCTCTCGGAATGGACTGGGATACGTCAGGTACAATGCATGGAACTGGATTAACCAGCCTGGACTGTGACTGTGTGTGTGTTAGTTTTCAGCGAGGGGATATGCACCAGCTAGTCCAGCCCCCACTGAATGCGTTGAGTTCTAGCCGCTGCTGTGGTTTTTACACAGAGACAGGGCCGTAGCCAGGATTTTAAAAAATACTGAGGTCATAGGTTCAATCTTCTCCTCTCTCAGTTCTTATAATGGAGTAAGGCTTCTTTAAGCTATCTATAAATAATACTGCTTTCCTATAAATAACACCGATTTCAGATTTATTGTTAAATGTAGGACAGAGCACAATTACCAAATGCAACTAGCAGCCCAAAACATCAAAATGTTAAATGTAGCCTTCCATGATCCAGAAAAGACACCAATAATCCTCCATAAATTCACTTAAGTGACTCTTCTTTTTTTTTTAAAAATGATGTGATTTGACATTAAAAATATTTTAAATAATGCCTTCACATAAAAGTGTCTAAAACATTAGAAAATACCAAATAGTAGACAATAGACCACTTTTTTTGCTACATTACAGTTTAGGGATAGAAATGCTAATAATCTGATGATGATGATGATTTGTTGATGACTGTGTGATAATGGGAAGTCAGACATAAATTGTCTGGCCTTCATCATGTGTTTATAAGACACAAGTAATGATATTGTCAGTACACTCCAAACAATATGCCAGTCACTCTTGGCCTATCAAAATCAACATCATAGGTATATTTTTAAATCAGTTGTGTGACAGGACTCTAGCTACCCTTACTGCTTCCATAGGAATTAAGAGGGTCAGTCTCAAACAAGTACTGCCAATTAAATGTACTTGAAGTAATCATCAGCAAATCTGACTGCCTCTTTAAGTGCAGATGTTTTAGCAGTTTGCTGGTCTGAGGGGTTCAGGTGTGCGTAGATACGATTTTCTAAGTAGTATGACGTCCTAGCAAATTCATCACGAGGTCAGACCCTACAATGCTCAGGGAAATTGTAAAAACGGGGAAGGGGGGGGGATCCAGGTGGTACATTTTAGCCTCTAGAGACCTCAGTTAGCATGTTAAATGTGTAAAACATGTTTCAAACAGTATCCAGACCAGAGTTTGTCAGTAATGAACAGCAGCATATTTAGCAAATACCAAATCAACAGAAACACCTCATACTAACTGTCAAACACATGGTGAAAACAAGCCCACAAACTCAGTGAATTAAAGGGAAATTGTAGAGAAAAATGGACCAAACTTTCTTGACCACAATATGAGACACTGATTAAGTAGTTCAAAAAATTATTACTTCAGGATTTTGCTGGTAAAAGTTGTTCTAAAAACTACTAAATCACACTTAGACTGTTAAAGAGTAATAACACACATACACATACCAACACTTATTAACGGAGCTTGGAGTGACCATGTAAAAAAAACTGAATTAATTGTGTATAAAAAATTCATTAGGGAATTAGTAATTATTATTATTAGGCAGTCACATATGGATTCATCACCGTGTAATAAGCCATCAGATCTGCAAGGGGGAAACTGATAAATGGTTTTTAGAGTAATCCTGGTCTGCCCTGGAATGTTACATGTTTAAAAAGTGCATTGTTGTTCATATTTTCCCTACCAGCCTTTTCCAGAAGGAAAGTGTCTGAACAGTTCAGTGGAGCGGTCTACCTGATGAACTAAAGAGCTTACCTAAAACAATAAAGCAGGTGTTACTCTGGACAGGGGTAAACACTGACCAAAGGGATTTTTCACAACCTGGCAACCCAAATGTTCACGTAACTGGCTTATAAATGATCAAATACACTTAGTATGTGACTTATTCAACCTGTACAAGCCCATAGGGATGTTTTGTCGTTAGAAAGTGGCAGCACTGACGCATCATGATGAATGTACTCTAACTCGGTTTTAAAAAAGGGGAACCAAATGTGCATTTTGTTGAATGACAACACTTTTAAATCTGTAAAAACTGTGATTCTACACAAGAAAGCAACACGGAGGCAAAAACTTGATCTTCACGCTTGAGGCAAATTGGACATGTTACCTTAGTGACTGCCAGCTGGGTTCAGATTTTGCTGAAGTGAATCTATAACAACAACTGACGGGGAGTTTCTCAGAAAACATTAAGCTGGTAAAGGAAAAGATTCCAACAATAAGACCCTTGGACATGTCATGAATCCAGTTCTCCCAGCTCCACGGATAACCTTTCATGTGTACCAGCTTCAAACACCATGAAGGCTTTAAGTCGTTGTCTCGCTCAGTGCTGGTTTCCCAGGCAACAAGAATATGATAATGTTGCCTTTGACATGACAGAAGGAATCATCTCGCTAACAAACAGAGACAACAGGCACAGGGAGGGCTCGGAGAGAGGCAGGGGAGGGGGCTGAATTAATGGACTCATTTTCACACAGAGGGAAACACAGCGGCAGCAGCTACTTACCATCCTCCATCTTCCTCTATTGCCTCCAATGCATTCCTGCTGGCAGGCACACTCTTGCTCTCCCGAGGGAACAGCCAGCCTCCATTGGAAAGCTAAATAACAGTCAGTGGCCAGTGGGGACCGGAGGGGGACAGCTTTCTGATGAAGGCTGCCCTTCAAGGCTGTATGGCTCCAAACCAAGTGCTCTCGCTGCTTAGCGTCACACCAGCTAAAACCTGAAATGAACAAGCTGTGTGGACGCCATGTGTTTTCCATCAGTGAAGAAGGGTTAATCAGCCAGCCATGTGGAATCACAGAGGGGCTGGCTTGATTCATGTGATCATCTTTCCATTACTCTATAAAAGAAACTGTAAAGCCCCAAAGCCCATCTGTAAGAAACTTGTTCTTTAGCACATGTTTGAAAATCCATATCAGCTAACAGCCTTGTTGAAGAAACTGATGCAACAGAATAAAATGACATGAAATAACACAGTCACAGAAAATAAAAATGTATCGTCCTTACCTAAATTAAAAAGGCAAAGCCTACTGAATGGACTGTTTTTGTCATACACATTAATGCTTTCACATTTTAGTCCTCACTTTGCTCCAGACTGAAATGTCCCATCATTAATGTTTGTGCTAACAATACATCTTTTAAATTGCAAGGTGTCTCAGCTTAATTTTTTTTACATAACATCTTGTGTTTTGAACAGATTAAGTCTAAATGTAAAGATACAAATGTGACATGTACTGTTAACACTGCTGATTTAATCTTGTTACATTTACATCTGCTCAGATTGATTTTTTTTCTAGTGCATGACATTAACTTGTTTATTGTTTTCTTTGACTGAAATGTTACAAGAATCTGTTACATGCAGGCATTCGTTCCCCCCTTGAGAATGAAGAGTAATAACCTTGTTTCTCAGCGCCATCGTTGTTGAAATCTTTCATTTGGTTTACAATTAAATTCCTCTCGAAACCATCACAATCCCATCGTCTTTGACTGTACCTTGTGTTTAGTACCACTTAAAAAATATTAGCACCAAATGAAAATGGCGATGGCGGGAATGGTAAGAGTTTTTATTAATCCAAGTCAATTCAGTTTTATTTAGATAGCACCAATCACAACACCAGTCACCTCAAAGCTCTTTATATTCCAACAATAATAGAGAAAGTGCTTTAAACAGGACCCAGGCTCAGGGAGGGACAGCAATCTGCTGCGTCCATCAGCACACCAGCTTCTTCTTTGAGGATGTTAGCCCCACAAAGGTCGGAGATTGGGTCTAGTGTAAAAATGGCTGTAATTAGCCATAGGAAAGACTACAAAAAAGTGCTCTAGTCCACAGTTTTATGCCTCTAAGTGTATGCATAATATTTTCTCTATCTGTACCCATATAAACTATATGGACAAAAGCATGTTACACCTACAGGATCTGCTCCCGTCATAGTAACCAGTGCCATGAAGCTCCCAGTGCACAGTTTTTGTGCTGATGTTAATGACATTTGAAACCCTGCAGTTACTGAGTCACCAGAGTATTAGTGACTTTTATGTACAATGGGCCTTAGCAGTTGGTGACCCCGCTCTGTAACCCTACATGATGTGCCACTTTGTGTCCAAGTTCCTGTGGTTCCTAAACACTTCCGGTATGGAATTATACCACTTACAGCTGATGGTGGAACATCGACAAGTGAAGAAATGTTACAAATTGACTTGCTGTAATGGTGATATCCTATTACAGCACCATCTTCCAACTCAGCGAGCTCTTTAGAACCATCCATTCTTTCTGTCTGTGTAGGCGCTTGGTCATCCAGGTCGTGGTAGCCTTCACAGCTTGGAAAAGGAGGAATCCAAGAGGCTTTTTCAGTCCTGTGTAATAAACCTCTAGAGGAGGCCGTCTTCTTTGGAGGTGGTCCTGAGGGTCGTTAACCTACTATTGATCTTGTGAGTAGTCACGTAAGCTGAGGTGTCAGAAAAGCCGTGGGTCATCCCCATCACCCGGGCAGACAGGTGAAACCTCTGTTAGACCTTACCCCACCCCACTATCACGTAAACTATTGAGGTTACCTGAGGCAAGGTGTGAATGGGGGTTGAAACCCCTGGGAAGGGATTTCAGGACTGCATTGCAGGTGGCTCATAGCTGATGTCGTAAGCCGACACCTCTGTTTAATGATGGTCGTTCACGGTGGACATAGATGGTCTCCTTTACTCCTCTTTCAAACCTTCTGTCTTCTCAGTCCAAAACGGGCGTCCTTGAAAGACTGACCTTTGTCCTTAAGGTGCCTTCCATGCTAACTTTACATATAAACAAACTATATTTCGACACCTTGCTTTATAAATACGCTGTACTTTTCAAGGGGCAGGCTGTATTATGGAGCTTTCCCTTTTACATCTTTATTTAATATTAATTGTATTGATGTGCAGGGTGGATATTGTGTTATTAATCTTTTGTACAATCCAAATATGAAAAAGGACTCTCAGTCTCACCAAGTTACATGAAAAAATAAACGCCATCACATTTTGCGGACTTGTGTGACCTTATGTAAATCTAACTTTATATTTTTTCTTTCACAGTTCAAACATAACTTTTAAAGGACTGCACAGGAAAGGAATGTTTCTTTTCCTCTGTAATACCACTATTACAGTATTACTATAACAACACAAGATGAGGAAATATAGTTTGTTTTT